CAGCGCCCGCAGCGTGGTTGCCGCCGAGTAGCCGCCGCCGACCAGCACCACAGACACGCCCGCCGGAGCCGAGGCAGGCAGGAAGGAGGCGCGGTCTCGCGCAAGCACGTCGGGCAGCCGGTCAAAGAAGAAGTCGCGCGGCGGCGAGTCGGCGGGCGGAGCGGCGGAGGCGGCGGCGGCAGAGGCGGCCCCGGCGGCGGCCGCTGCGCGCAACTTTCGCTCGCCGAGCGCAGGCGCGCCGCCCCGGCCGAGAAAGTTGCCGCGGCCGTACGTGCCCGACGCGTCGATGACTCCGGCGAGGCCCTCGACCAGCGTCTCTTCGCCTGTGTGACATGGACATGTCAGGCGTCGCAGGACGTGTCCTGGACATGTCGCCTTCGATCAGCGTCTCTTCGCCGTGGACGTCGAGTAGCGCCGAGAAGGCGGTGGCGGCTCGCGCCTCGGAGCCGGCCGCCTTAAGGGCCAGGGGCCAGCGGTGGGGTCTGGGTTGGAGAGGGGTTGGAGAGGCCGGGGTGGAGACGCGGCCTTGATCGCCTCGCCCTTGAGGAGGCCGCCGCGCGTGATGGACTCGACTCTCGCGCCGAGGAGGATCTCACAGTCTTCGCGCTGCGCCAGCCACTTTGCGAGCGGCTCGAGGTATGTTTCGCAGAGCTCATCGCCCGTCGGATAGGTCGCGGGGTCGGGAGGAGCGAGGCCGAGGTCGGCGAGCGCGCGGAGGCCAGCTGGCGAGCAGTTTAGGCTGTTGGAGGAGAATAGGCGCACGTGGCCCCAGTCCCGGACCGCGTGCCCGATGATGTCGCCCTTTTCGCAGAGCATGACTCCGAGACCGGCAAGGCTGCATGAGACAGCAGCCTCGATCCCTGTCGGCCCGGCGCCCACTACCAAGATCCGCGGGCGGCGCGGCGCCGACGAGGACTTTCCAGGACATTCACCTGCCGTGCTGCCCAATGCAGCGCCGAAGAGGAGAGCGGAGGAGGGCGTGAGTGGTGCCATCCCGACGATCGACTGTGTCACCGTTGACTATAGTCGATCGGTCGGAGAGGTGGTAGCAAAGTTTTCTTTTTTCACCACTTGCCTCGGGACCTCCGTTAACGTGCACGAGCTTCTTGAGCCACCCACCCACCAACCCACCTCACGGCCCGGCTGAGGCTTGGAACCACCCACCCACCACCACACACCTCACGGCCCGGCGACTATCCTCCTCAACAAACACACCAAGCTGACCTGCAGGCTGTGCGCAACAAGCACAGTCGTAATTTCACGGGAACGTGGGGAGGCTCCCTCCGGCTGAGACCATGCCCTCCGCACGGGCGAGCGAGCAGCGGGGACACAACCATTGCTGGAATTGTGTGTCCCCCGAGCGTGTTGGCTGTTGGGTGGAAATCGGTTTTTTGTTTGCTTGGCTATACAGTTGTATGCGCTCACGACAACGCTCCGCGCTGCGGCGACCTGCCGACGTGCCGCTGCTGGCGCTGCAGTGATCTAGCTGCTATGGGCGTTCCCGGCCTCTCCGAGTGGCTCAAGCGCCACCACGAGAACAGCTTCGTCGCTACGCCACGCAGCGCCGACCACATCTACGTCGACATCAACAGCATGCTGCACGGCGTAGTGCGGCACAACGCCACCGAGGCGGCGGCGCTCGCAGACCTCGAAAGGCAACTCAACGAAATGGCACGCTTGCGGACGCCGCGCATTTCTCTCACTCTCGCCGTCGACGGACCGGCGCCGCTCGCCAAGCTCAAGGAGCAGCGTGAGCGCCGCGTCAAGCACAGCATCAAGGAGGAGCGCAGGGCCAGCACCCACCAGAATCGCCTGTCGACGCTGTGTGTGACGGTGGGCACCACGTTCATGCGCGACGTGGACGCGACGCTGCGCCGGTGGGCGCGGGCGAGCGGCTGGCTGCGCGCGCGCATCGTCGTCGACCCGTCCTCCCACGACGGCGAGGGCGAGGTGAAGCTCTTCCGCCACCTCCGGCTCACCAACAACGGCAGCGCTGCCGAGAGCCATCTGGTGCTGGGCGGCGATGCCGACCTCGCGCTGCTCGCACTCGCGTCGCCCGCGCACCGCGTGCTCTGCTGCGATCCTCAAAAGGAGGGCGGCAGGCGCAGCCTATCAATCGAGAGCTTCCGTGGCGCCATTAGCCGCGCCGCCGGCCTGCCGCCGCAGCCCTCGTTACCGCCGCCAGCGGGCGTGTCACTCGATATGGTGCTGCTCGCTCTGCTCGGCGGCGATGACTACCTGCCTAGACTCAAAGGCTACAAGCTGCAGCAGGCTGTCGAAGCCTACTCGTGCCGCCGCCGCGCCGCTACCGCAGCAGCAGCCGGCGGTGGCGGCGGCGTGACGGTGGCGGCCGCGACGCTCGTCCGCCTCGAGCCTGCTCCGTCGCCGTCGGCGGCGTCAGCGAGCGCTTCGTCGGAGCCGACGGCAGCGCTGCACCTCGACCTGCGCGAGCTCGGTTTGCTGCTGCGCGAGCTGGCCGCGCTGATTACTCACGACGGCGGGCAAGACGCGGAGGCGGAGGCGGCGCCAGCAACGGGCGACGCGCAATCGGAGGAGACGGTGGGCCACTACCTTAGCGGCCTCCTCTGGGTGCTCACGATGTACGCCGAGGCTCGCTGTCCGGACTATTCGTTCGTCGTGCAGCACTCGCCGAGCGTCTCGCAACTCGCCGAGCTGCTATGCGACGATGCGGCGCGCGGCCGGCTGGGCGCACGCGCGCGCTGCCCGCGCTCGCCGGAGCCTGCGACGCCCGCGCTGCTTGTGCCGCTGCTCGTGCTGCCCGCGACGGCCGAGCGCCTCGCTCTGCCGCCGCTGCGCCGCCTCTTTGCCGCCGATGGCGAGCTGGGTCACCTCTTTGCCCAGGAGCGATGCACGGTGTGCGCGGCGGAGCGGCGGCGCCTGAGGGAGCTCGAACCCGTGAGGGCGGCCGAGGCGAAGGAGCAAGCGGAGGCGAGGCGGCTGGCGAACGAGGCCGCGGGGAATGGCGGCGGAGGCGGCGAGGGCGGCGGCGGAGGCGAAGGCGGCGGCGGGCGGCGCAAGCGGCGCGGGTCGTCGGGTCGTGCAGGACGCAACAAGAAGGTCAAGCTCGAGGAGAAGCAAGCAGACTCCGAAGTAGCGAGCTCCGCTCCCGATGCGAATGGTGTCGCTGAGCAGCAGCAGGAGGAGGAGGTCAAGGCGGAGGCGGCGGCGGCGGAGGAGGGCAGCGCAGACGAGGCGGAGGCGGGGGCGACGCAGGAGACGCAGGTGGTCTGCTCGCAAGAGGTCTGCTCGCAAGAGGGCGGCTACAGCCAAGAGACGGCGGCGAGCCAGGAGACGGTGGTCGAGGAGGCTGAGGCGGTGGAGGCGCCGAGCGGCATCAACTACAAGGGCGCGCTGAACGAGGCGGCGATGGTGCGTGGCTTGACCATCAGCTACGCGAGCGTAGCGGTCGGCGAGCAGTCCTTCCGCTCGACCGTCACGCTGCAGCCGCTGGGCAGGAGCTTCGTCGGGTGCGTGACGGCAGGGAAAAAGGGGACCGAGCAGTCGGCGGCGCAGCAGGCGGTCGCCTTCCTGGAGGCGGAGCAGCAAGCCGCACCATGCAGCGACAAAACGCCCACACAGATCGAGATTGCCACCGTCCAAGCCCGCTATGAGGAGCATAGGGCGGAGGCTCATCCGCCGACTGCGCCCACCGTGCGGCGTGCTGCGGTAGCGGAGGCTGTGGGACGCGTGATGGCGGCGTGCGAAGGGCCCAACGCGACCGAGCAGCTGACGGCGGCCGAGCGAGAATGCTTCAAGCCGAGCGGGCCGAGCACATTCGACCACCGCGTCGCCGGGCCGCTGCCGCCAGCCGCCGTCCAGCAGCACCCGCATGCTTCGGCGCTCGGCCACGCTCCTCCACGCATGTGGGACCAGCCGCCGATGCCGATGCCGCCGCAGGCGCCGTTCGGCTTTGCGCATGCGCCGCCGTTCGGTTTCGCACACGCGCTACCGCCCTTACCGCTGCACGCCGCGCAGCATCAGCAGCACCCCCCGCCGCACCACGGCGGACAGCCGCCGCCGCACTTCCAGCACGGGTGGGGGCCGCCGCCGCGGGGCGCGCCGCCGCGCTACGGTGGGCCGCGCTACGGAGGGCCGCACTACTGAGTACGTGATCTTACGTGGAGGTTGTCTGTTGATGTGTTTGTGATTTGTGCAAGACGAAGACGTACACCTACACGGCTCGGGCTGCAAGTAAGAAGTATCACACTCACAGCCCCGCGATCCCCGACCCCGATGCGTCGATGCCGGCGCGCTTCGCCTCCTTCGTCGTGAACCGGTCGCCCTTCACCACCACCAGCGTGTCCTGGTGGACTTGCACCCACTTGGAGGTGGCAGCCATTTGGCGGCCCGCGCGCTGAGGCGCGGTGGCGAGGGCAGTCAGCAGCACGCCCGTGTTGAGCGGGTTGCAGCCGGCGCTCTTGAAGGCAGAAATGCTTGCGCCGCAGCGCCTCGCGGTAGAGTTCGACGATGTCCTCGCCGTCTCCTTCGATCCACTCGGGGTCGTACGCGAGGCCGCGCAGTCCGCCTGCCTTCGCACGCGCGAGCTGCTCGCGGTTCGCCTCGACTTGGCGACGGCATCCTTCCCGTCGAGGAGGTGCTCGGCGGCGCGGCCGAGCGCATCGCGGCGGCGGTCGGCGCGCCCTTCACCGGCCTCCTGATGACGGCGCTCGACCAGACGGGGCAGCGGATCATCGCGGCGCGCCAGCGCATCACCGTCGGCGAGCAGCCGGCGGGCGGCGGCCCGATCATCGACAGCGTCGGCTGCGGCGTCCCCGGTTGGAGCCGCTTCCCTCGGCGCACAAGCGGCTGCCAGTACGTGGTGGCGAGCGGCCAGGTGGAGTGCCTGAGCAACCCGCGCGCGGGCGAGGGCTTCAGCACGTACAGCTGCCCGCCGGCGGCCATGCCGCGCCTCCTGGCGTGCGACGACGCGCTGGCCGCCAACCAGCAGCCGGGGGGCATGCACTTCCGCATGCGCGAGGCCGTGGGCGCCCTCCTCGATTTCGTCCGACGTATCGAGCACTCCGCTGAACCAGTTGAGCGACTCCTTCGTCTTCTTCGCGGCGAGCTGAATCCCATCCCATCCCCATCCCTGTTTGCAGTCTTGGCCTACTCCCCCCTACTCATACCCTACCGTACGCAACCAGCAAGCTTTTTTTGTTCTTAGGTCTAGATCGCACCCCCGTCTAGAAAATGGGGAGGATGTTGTGCGCGCCGGCCGGGGGGCAGGCACCGTGCAGGTGATGCTCGACAACATGGCGAACCACGTCTGGCGCGAGGTGTGGCCGGCGATCGACATCGCATAGAGTCACCCCCCTTGGACGCGCCCACTCTCCGTCCACAAAACTCACGATCCTACTAATACATACACATATCTCTGGAGTATTTGCCGACATAAATCATAATGAAGGCAGCACCAAGCTATTAGCTATCCTCTTCTCAAACGACGCACAGTCTCTCACACAGACACCCCACAGCACGGACACGGCAGCCTGCCACGGACGGAGGCCGCGCCGACCGAGCGGACAAGGCACTCATCCGGGTACGGTGGCTCGCGTGCTGCGCAGTGGCTGCTATACCACCGGCTCCCTGACCCTCAGCTACGCCCCAGTGGCTACAAAGCGCATGCGCATCAACACACAAATATCGCATCGCGGGCCGCAGCAAGCTAGCAGGAAGGACGGAGCTTGGCGCTCAATGAGTTCTATAGAGTGTACAATGAGAGCGAGACGCCCCTGTGCCCTCCCGCAAGGTGGAGGCGGCGCAGCTGCTCACTCCTACAATGAGGATACAAGTCAAAGCGACGGAAGGTCTGTGCCGCCGCCAGCTGGGGCGCCATCCGCTTTGCCGGAATTGGCTGTGTCGGCCACGACCGGCACAAAGAGAGGCGACCCCGAGCGCTCCTTCTTGATAACAACGCAGAGGGCGGCGATCGCGCAGACCGCCACTGTAGCTCCCACCGCAATGCCTGCAATGGCGCCGGCCCCGAGCCCGTCCTCCTCCTCGGGGGCCGGCGGGGCCGACGGCGGCGGCATGTTCGGGCTCAGCGGGAGCGTGGCCGAGACCGCTTGGTAGGTCGACTTGGCCAGCTCGGCCGAGTAGAAGTCGGTGCCGTAGTTGGCGACGGAGACGGTGTACGAGTTGCCCGGAGAGAAGCCGTAGCCGATCGGGCCGCACAGCACCTGCGTCGGGCTGACGTACGACGCGGGGAACACGGTGGAGTCGACGCGGCACTTGAGCTCGTTGGACGCGATGAAGTCGGAGCCCGTCACGGTGAAGTACTGGCCGGGGATCAGGTTGGAGGCCGACGTGGGTTTCGCGAGCGGTGTGCACTGGCCGAAGGCGGCGGTGTCGAAGCGGAAGACCCACCTGGGCCACTCGCCCGTCGCCGGGTCGCACAGCATGTGGTTGCGCGTCGCCGAGAAGGAGCCGACGCCGTGCGCGTCGGTGAGGAGGCGGTAGATGAACGAGGGCAGCTCGCCGCTGAAGGCGTTGCCGTCGAGTCTGAGGCGGGAGCCCGAGGTGGCCACCTGCTCGTTCTGGAAGCCGAGGAGCGACACCTCGAAGTTGCCGCTGAACTTGTTGTTGCGCAGCGAGAGGTAGCGCAGGTTGGCCGTGTGCCAGTCGAACGTGGGCAGCTCGCCCGCAAACTCGTTCGAGTCGAGCGTCAGGCGGTAGATGCCGTTCCACCCGTTGATGACCACCTTCTTCAGCGTGCCCGTGAGCTTGTTGCGCGACAGGTCGAGCGTGAAGAGCTTGGACGAGCACATCATGTCCATCGGCAGGTCGCCCGTCAGGCCAGAGTGGACGGCCGAGAAGTGGGAGAGCTGCGTCGCCTCCTTGATCTCTGCAGGGATCGGCGAGTCGAGGTTGATGAAGTCGAGGTACAGCTCCTGCAGCCTCGGCGCCTCCGAGAAGAGGCACGACTTGAGCGAGCCGGTAAAGTAGTTCTGCGAGTACGACGCCTTCTTCAGCTTGGGCTCGGTGTGCGTCGCGCACGGCAGCTCGCCCGTGAAGAAGTTGTGCGTCAGGTAGACCTCCTCCAGGCTCTCGGAGGCAAAGATGGAGGAGGGCACGGTGCCGGTGAGCTGGTTGCGCGAGAGGGAGAGCGTCTTGAGGTACGGCAGGTTGCCGATCGACGCGGGGATCTCGCCCTTGAACGCGTGGCTCGCCAGCAGCAGCTCGAGGATGTTGCCCTGCAGGTCACAGTTCACGAACTCGAAGTCGTCGCACGCCGTCTTGCCGGCGATCGGGTCCGACCAGGTGCCGGTGTCGGTGTCGATGCCCTTGGCGAACATCCAGTCGCAGTAGGGCACGGTGTCCGAGTCGATCTCGGTGCCGTTGGTCGAGTAGACGTCGCGGTAGAGGTAGCTCTGGAACGCGTTCTTGCCCGTGTTGTAGTGGCCGTCCATGTAGTCCTCGCGGTTCCAGTGCTGGTTGATCATGTCGGGCGCGGTCAGGTCGAAGATGGGCGTGTCCTTCTGCGTGGGATAACACGTGTTGTAGTAGAGGTCCTGCAGGAACTGCAACTGCGCCGTCGGGATGGTGACCTGCAGGTACGGCAGCCAGGTCATCGTG